TGGTTGAACAGGAAAACAAAAACTCTGAGTCAGATTTCCACTTATGGCGGATTGTTTAGAAGTCCGTAACTACGTAGCCAAGCTCTTTGGTATACTATAACATCTGTATATTCATTGATTGTACACAGGTGCTTGTAAAACATCTCAAGTTATGATCCTTTTTTCCCCTAGTTACTCTATTCAGGATCCTGAGTAGCCGAATGAAAGTGATTTTGACTTCGGTGCTTATGAAAAGAATGGACACAATGCCATACTCTTTTTTTCAGTTCAAGTTTTACTCCCAATTGCACAAAGGTTGAAAAGGTTTTCAGAGTTTGAAAATCAGTATAATAATTTTGGTTTCATGTAGAAAACCACAACCAGAAGGATACAGGAATTGTGTGATGGTTCCAACATGCAGCATGGAAGTGTCATACAAACTAATTTTATCTTATACAATGTTTTTCTTCTACATTCTCTGCTTCTCCAATGATAACTGTACAACACCTGCAGATTTGTAAGGTTAAAATATTTTGATAAGATACCACATTATGAGAGATTCCAATGAATTTGTACAGTTTACAGTACAAAATAATGACAAGTCAGAGCATTGCTAAGAGTTTATTCGGAAGCTTTTACTTTCAGTTCTTATATCACAAAAGACATGTTTACATGTTTACAACAAGTATTAGAAACTGAGATGTTTTTATTTCTACTATTATAAAAGTAACAGAGGAGACCATTCTGAGCCATCTTCAAAATGCAGACCAATCTTTTTTTGTATATAAACTGTACACAAAAAACAAGGCACTATACATTTTTGGATATTAAAGTATAAAGGTTGATTCGCATAGTTTCTCAAGAAATCCATGCTATAAATACAAACGCTTTGTTCAGTTTAGCACCTGAAGCAGCACTGAGAACAATTCATTGCCTATTGCAAAGAGAAACTTTTCAGAATGCGCAGGAGATACATATTGGTGGTTTAGCTAATTCAGTACAAGCAACTGCCATCCAGCTACTGTTCTGTAGTTCTGACATTGAAGTCTTGAAAGTGAATATATATTGCATTGTTAAATACATACTTGTTCTATGTGTTTATATAAATATAAATTCTTTGTAATCCACAAACTAACAAAATAACACTTTACAAAGAGAACTTCTTCAAAAACAAAAATGGCAAGTATTGGAGATAGCCAAAGGACAGCTACAGCAGTAGCTCAAGAAACTACTGTTTAAGTGCATAGGAGAGCTGAGCTTAAACATAACCTTCAAAGTCAAATTTGAATTCCACTTCCAAAGAGTTCTCTTGGCCTTTTAAAATATTACACACCTCCAGATAGGTAGTCACTAATAATTTCAGATTATCTCTATTTTGTAAATGTGGAGCACAGATTTGCTAAAGGGCACAGAAAGTGATAACGGACATCCCTTTGGTGCTCAATCCAATAGATACAGCTTAAAAAAGTCCTTTTGCCTTTTTCAGATTAACCTGTTTCCATGATGGCAGTGCGTTGTACTCTTCTCTTGTCATCTCTAATGCAACCTGCATGGAAAACAAGAAGATACACCCCTAATAAGCCACGCAGCAAAACCATCAGATGACTTAACAGCAAGGTTGGACAGAAACACATTGAGTATTATTGTATCCATTCTCTCCTTACCTCAAAGTCCTCATCCGAAAGATAAATTTCAAGCTTCAGAGGATCAACTCCCTCAGGTAAAGGCCTGGCTAAGAGATCAGCTAGGGGATACACAGTTTTACACAGCTTGGCCAGCACATCTTCTACAAGGATTATCTGATTAGAAACATCAGCATCCTAGGGGGAGAAAAAGAAGATGCTCAGTTCAGGATCACAGTGCTGAATCCATCAGCTGCTTGTGTCACTCTGAGGACAGTGTGGGATCAACCTATGCTGCCTGGCTCGCAGAGCACAGAGCTGGACCTGTAGGTCTGCACATTGCCTACCAGCCTTTGCCTACAACCATTTCACAGCCACAATAATGTCTGCACTTTGCAGAAGGAATTCCTGCACTTTAAGAGTCTCAGCTTAAGGTCAACTTGTGTGTTTAAAATCATGAATCCAGCAGTTTCCTCTTTGGATTGCCGCTGAAGATTTACAGAGAAGCAAATGTGATTTGCCTCAAGATTCCCTTTCACTGAAGGCTTTTAAAAGAGTCATGTAAATTCAGCTGGGATGGTGCTTCCCAGGTAGGGAAGTTCATACTGGAGCTCTTTGTGGAGCATGTCTCTCCCCAGCTCCTTCCATGTGGAGGATTGACCAGAGCTGAAGGTTGCTGCCTGTTTCCCAAAGTTGAAACAGTTGTTCTGCTAAATGCTAACAACCGTTTCTACGGGACAATTCAGACAGCACTTCACTCCAGTTCTGTTTTTAGCAAAAAACAGCATGAGAAGTTGCATGAAAAAGAACTGGGAATGCCTCTGATAGCCACACTCACAGTCAAAATTTGGCTTTGTTGTTTCTTTTTTTTTTTTTTTTCCTGTGCAGACTCTTAAACCACACTTTACTAGGCTCACTCATGGGGTTTTGGGGCATGACATCACAAAATAGCAATGTTACTGGCAACACGAGATAATTACTAGCAATAGGAAACAGTGCACACTGTGAAAGTATTTACCATTTCTGTGATCTCTGCAATGTCTTCCCTGTGTTCCCAACTTGGGAACATATTAGTGAAGGTCAGAGGCTCTAGGCCGGCATGAATGAGATAGGACTTTGGGGGCTTCTTTACATTTTTTCCTAAAAACAGCCAAAACACAAAAAAGAGAAATTAAAAGTGGTACCATATTTCCTGGTATCATTTGCCAAAAAGAACTATGCTGTAGGTAGTTAAGTAATTTGAGGCATTAGGAATGCATTTCATCATGATTTCTTTTACACATAGCATGGCATCTTCTAAAGTGGAGTTGTTGTTTTTGTTTGTTTGTTTTTGGTGTTTTGACATGTGCTTTTTACTGTATCTGACCACAAAGATTAAAGCATGTACACTGATGAAAACTTTACAGTTACTTCCTAATTCAGTGTACATCTTATCTTACAAAATAAAAAAAAATAAAAAAAGTGAGGATAGCTTTAGCAGAATGTGATGATCTGAAATCAGCCAAATTCAGGTAAAAAAAAACCTCGTATGCCCAGAAGTGTCCTACCATCAGCAAGTACCAAGGAAGCTTGAAGGGCTATGTGAGAACGTATAAACTGTCCTTAACTTGGGATCCTGACATTTGACATAGTCGTTTTGTCACAACAAATTCAAAGGAACAGGATCTGCAAGTTAAAAAGAAGTACTGCAATAGCTAGGTGGCAAATTCTGCTGATGTTTAAATTTGTATAAAACATGTGAGAGAACACTATATATGGCAATAAGCTCTGTCTAGGAGTGATGCCATGTAAGAGAAAGGGTTGAAGTCATTACACCAAGAACAACTGAATAAAGGCCCTGTTGCTTGAATGAATTCATACCACAAAGATTCAAAAGCACCAATAAACTCAAATGCCCTTGGAAAGAGGCAGACAGGCAGTCGGGGCTGGGAGGAGCTATCTCCTCCTAATATTCTGAAAAATATTGTACCTTCTCTTTAGTTGGATTAAAACACATCACTCTAATCAGATTGTTTTTCCAGACAGGAGATGGAAAAGCTGAACATGTTGCCAAGTCCAGAATCAGGAGAAACTAACACAACAGTATCACACAACCCTGCTTCTGAAAGCTGTATCTTCTTGCAAAATTCTATATGTAATTCCAGAGCATCTTTAAAAAATAAGGATTTACTCAAGAAAATATCGATCTGCTAAAGATGACTTTGTTTAGTCTCCACCATATGGTCTTCATTTTTGTGGGAAGATCTGAAAGAACATGGCCACCTACCATCTGCTAGGGAGCACCCCACAGCACTAATGTAACACCTATGCTGAATGCAAATGGAGAGCATGGCTGGACAGTGTTGTTCCAGTAAGCTTGCTAAATGTCAACATTACAGGTTTGGCTTAACATCAAGTAGTGGTAGCAAGCTGATTAGAGAGAGCATGTTAGCATGAAATTGAACAGTAGAGAAAAAGCTCTATGGAGCAGTCAAACAAATGTATTAGAATGTGAATGCTCCAACCACACAATTTAGACAGGAGGTTTATTATCTGAATACTTGATGCTAAGTCCTCTCTTCCACGTGTTTGCACTGTGGTTTATTTGTTCACTCTACCATGAATGATTCAACAAGTACTTAAAAATTTAACAGGTACTTTAAAACTCTGTGCTTCAAAAATATGCCAGTCTGCTCTGGTTGAACTGTTCCTGTCTCAGTAGTTCAGTCAAGATACAAAAGGAGAGCTGCATGTGATAATGGGCCAGTACAGGCACAGCCATCTCATAAGACTGACTTCCTACATAAACAGATAAACAATTTCATTGCATGAACTCTGCCCTCATCACAAGCTGGTCTCCACAGTCATAGTCACTGATGGTCAGACCAATTTTTCTCTCTCCTGCTGTCTGCAGTTCAGTACTCCAGATTGCTGACTTAAAGGATAAAACCATAGAAAATCATTTCACGACGTTCTGATGAATTAAATTAAGATTTATGCACAAGGAGAATTGTTAGGTATATTCAAGGGATATCCAGAGGAGGTTATCAATCTTTTTCATACCATCATGTGATTAAACATTGCAACCCAGGAAAGAGAGGAGTGAGAGGGAAGTAGAGGATGAAAGAAATGGAGAAAGAAGAATAGAAGAGTTGTCTTATGCTTCTAATCACTCTACCTGTATACCAATCAGAATATTTCCTACACTTAATCTGTTGGTTTTTAATCTCACCCCCTTAGTAAGTAATGACACATAAGTAGATCTTAAGTCAGCCCTGGTAGCCTGAAGCAATGAAATTTTGAACTGGTTGACAGAACAGCCCAATGCTAGATCATGGAAGTGATGGGACAGCAAAAAAGGTCCCATTCTATGATTCTGTTACATCAACTTTGGCACAGAAATAGTACAAGTAGTATTGATCTTTAAGGGTAGTAAACTTGCTCTGTACCCATCCAACCAAAGAGGAAAAAGCTCTTACTGCTGCAAAGTTATAGTCAGGGGCTAAAAAGTTTGCACCCAGCAAAAAACCTATGACATATATGCTATAGTTCAGACCCACGAGAAGTCACTGAAGAGCTTTTAACTGTGCAAACTGAGATGCAGCAAATTTAACCCCCTTTTCTCATCATCTAAGTCAGCGATGTTCAAGAAATCTAGAAAAGTATCCAAACCTCAACATGTATATCAGATTCCATTTTTTGCTGGGGCCAGAAAACATGATTTTTACTGGCAGAAGATTACAGCACTGCATAGGAAACACAGCCTGGGGGGGATCTTATTTCCATCTCTCTCAGTGCCTGCTGAGGAGCTCCAGGCATTTCACTGTATGGGCTCTGTCCTCTATGCTGACATTCACTTCTGCTGGGAAGCATACGGTATGAAATGATCTTACAGGTGCCTACAATCATTCATTCTGACTGGCAAAAAAGAGAAAACCTATGGGGATGCAGTGGGAGAAGGAAGTGGCTAGCCTCTTCTTTAGGAATTCAGCCATCCCTGCTAAAGACGTTTCCCTCTACTGCCTTGACTGTAGCACCCTATTCCTAAACATGCTGCTGTTTTGGCTGGACAGTGACAGGGACACCAGAAGATCAGCTACACAGAGCAGTAACACAGTCTCAGAAGGGTCACATTGCAGTGTCTCTGACAGTGGTTTTCAGCTGTCTCCTTCCAGGTGTTACCAGTTTCCCTCAGTGACACCAGGCCACTGAATAGAATCATAGAATCATAGAATCATCACAGAATCATAGAATGGCCTGGGTTGAAAAGGAACACAATGCTCATCTAGTTCCAATCCCCTGCTATGTGCAGGGTCACCAGCCACCAGACCAGGCTGCCCAGAGCCACCTCCAGCCTGGCCTTGAATTCCTCCAGGGATGGGACATCCACAACCTCCCTGGGCAACTTGTTCCAGTGCTTCAGCGCCCTATGAGTGAAAAAATTCCTCCTAATATCTAACCTAAACGTCCTCTGTCTCAGTTTAAAACCATTCCCCATTGTCCTATCACTATCCACCCTTGTTAACAGCCTTTCCCTTCCTGTTTATACACTCCCTTCAAGTACTGGAAGGCCACAATGAGGTCTCCCTTGGAGCCTTCTCTTCTCCAGTCTAAACAAGCCCTGTTCCCTGAACCTTTCCTCACAGGAGAGGTGCTCCAGCCCTCTGATCATCTTAGTGACCATTCTCCTCTGGACCTGTTCCAAGAGCTCCACATCTTTCCTGCACTGGGGGCCCCAGGCCTGGACGCAGTACTGCAGATGGGGCCTCACACAAGCTGAGTAGAGGGGTACAAAATAGAATAGAAACATAGCAACTGCTTCTATTCCTATTGGACCTGCAGACTGGGAAGGAGACTGGTTTTATCTTTATAAGGATGGAATCCGACATGGATATTGCTCTTCGGTCACAAGTTGTAAAAGATTATTTGCTACAGAAAGAAAAAAAATCAGTGTCATCTGAGATCAGCCTTTCCTTGCATGAGGAAAGTTTGCACCAGTTAGTAACTTGGGTAACTTGTTCCAGTGAGAATTGCTCTGAGCTGACCAAACATGGCTGTTACCATGCCTTCTTCTCTCCCCACCTTTCTTTATTCATCCTCTGTTGGAAGATGCAAGGTCTGTTTCCAGTCTCACATAACCTTAGATGAAACGAGATGAAAGCACTGCAACATTTAAAAAAAAACTCTACTAGTGCAGAAATGAATCTATCCAGATGACTCTTACATGACCATCAATTACAGCTTGAATCACTGCATGCTGAGCAGCAGTAACTCTGCCTTGTAGAAATGAGTCTAGGAAACTACCGAGCAAGGGCCTTAGCTCTGTGTTCCAGCTTTTCCAACAGCCATCTGTTTCTTTGTGACACTTGTTCTTGATCTTCAGTCTTTCCATCTCCCCCAATAAATAAAAACCCAGTTATATCAGCAAAAAGTATTTTTCATTTAGATTTTTGACACACATAAGCTTATGGAATCTAAGAGGAGCTAGAGAGAAAGCAAGTTTAAGTGGCTCTGTTCTCAGAATTCCTTTTGAGAAATCTGAACTATGCTCCCACAATGAGAACACGGAGAAAAAAGCCTTTCCTGTAAGAAATGGGTCACCAGAGAAACGTGGCAACTTGGAATAATGGCATTACTGGGCAAATTATTTGCTAATAAAGAGTGGAGAATGTATCTTCAAATACATTAGTGTTTATCAGGGGAGCACCTAACTGAGCAGCCCCTAGCTTGGGACAGAAAAGAATGGCACACACAGAACAGCCAGGCACAGCCATCTGTTACCTTTGCAGTACTGGAGCACTGTCTCCATGGCGCATTTCCTGTCTGTAGCCCATCTGATTCGAGCGGATCCAGCAATTTTGTTTTCCACAGGCCACCAGCCTTGCCACAGGTACACTTCATGGTGATTGTCAACAAGGAACAGTGCTATGCAGAAAAAAAAAAAGCAAACCCTCCATTACCACTCTGGAATTCTAGTTCTTGGAATTCCCTGAACAACATCAGCCCTACATGCTTGTCTGCATCAGAAAAGGATCATTTTGAAGCTTTCCAATCCCTTTTGTTATTCATCCAGTTGAACCTCAGCTGAACTCTGATTTTCTGATATAAACAAGGTATTTTTATAGCAAGCTTTTGAAATACAAATATATTTGATTAATTCTCAGCATATTTATCATGAAGAAATTACTCATTGCTTAATGCTGCATAAACATCACATACACACATTTTCCTGCTATAAATCAAGTTAGAAGTGATTACGGTAACTGAATTGCTGCCCAAGGCTTGATACAGTTATCTGTTTTTCAGTTACAGAAGTATATTAAAGCAGATACCTGGCTGTGGGGCAGTGTAAAGATCCTCTTGCAAGAAGGGCATAGAATTGATGACAGCAGGGTCTCTTGAAGGGTAAACAAACTCAGTGGCTGAGAATTCTCCCGAAGAACTACTGAGGCTGAACAGGCGGGGGGTAAAATTAAACTTTCCTGGATCTTGAAAGAAGAAAAACAAGAAAAAAAGATTTTCAATAGGAAATGATGGAGATGAATGTTTAAAAACAAACAAACAAACAAATAAATAAATAAATAAATGTATCATATATATATATTTTAGAGTGATTGTAAGTTCTCTGTTTTTTCAAAAATCAAGAAAGATAACCAGATGTCTTGGGGGACTGGCAGCAGCTGTGATGAACTTGAGGTAAAAGGCTGGCTGCCATCAGTTTGAATATGACTCTGGCTAGTTACAATCAGCCGTTTCATAACTGGCTGTTTCAGCTTAAGTGAAGCAATCCCTTCTCAAAGCCTACTTTCCACTTTGTAAATCAATTCTCCTGCTACCCTTACTGGCAGTTTGAAAGCAAAGACTGGACAAGAATTTGTGCAGAACAGCTCCCTAATCCCTTCAGAACAGAAGTAAAATGTGTAGGTAACAGCATTAACTGTTGCTCCATGCTGCATAAACACAGAGGGGCTGCAGAAGGGGGTGAGAAGAAAATGAAACACTTGTTTTCCAGCACTTTCCTTCTAGAAGAGTATTGCTTAACTCAGTAGAGGTTGCGATTTTTTTGTTAGCAACTCATCAAAGGGAAGAAGTTCTTCAAAACCTGTACATTAAATCTGACAATACTATAGACCAGTAAAGTAAAGTGGAAGTGCCAAACTCAGGAATGCATGTCTACCTTGCAACATGCAATCATAGGCCTTTCGATCTCGCCTTCCTAATGCATCCCAGAATCCCAAAGGCTCTGACCCTTCATCACATTCATGTATTGTCACCTTGCTGCTGCTGTGCAGCCCTGCTTCCAGCGGACATCTGCAAAACACAAAGAAAGAGAGTGAATCCAATTTTTCTCCCTGCTCCAATTACCACCACACAAACACCACACACTTGCTGGCTCAGGTTTTACTAGAACCCAAAGCCACCTCATACGCTTTTTGTGCATTGTGTCATCATGATCTTTTGGAAAAGGATGACAAAAGTTATCAGTAAACAAGACACAGAATTCCAACAATCATTCTCATAACATCACATACCCAAGGAGGAGTAGATGCTCACAGGAGCTCACTGTTCAAGTTTGTAATTACTGCTGTCCTCCTTGCATGCTTTCTTAAATTCACTTCCAATCACTTATTCACAAGGCACATCTTCCTCTCGGTTCTAATCCTATCAGCTGGGATTTAGTTTGCTACTCAAATATGGAAATTCTCCCTCCATGTGGAAAGAGATGTTTTTTGCAACTATAGTTAGTACAGTAGGATGAATAAGTGAATTTCACCTGAAGTGATCACAGAACACATTTTCCCCACTCCATTGAATCAGTTACCTGCCATTCCTCCTTCCTATCAAGCATGCACATACTGCAATTGTACTCAGAGGACAGCTTTATTTATTTCAATTGTTATACAAGGCAGACTATTTTAAGTAAATTGGTAGTTTATATAAACATCTCCAAAATATAGGTCAGACACTCACTGTTCTTTTATTTTATTGGCTGCTGTTCTTCCTACATCCTTGGTGTGAGATTGTGCTTTGCAGCCATGCCACAGGTAGATAAGAGCTTTATTTATATTGAGGACAATCATGGATGTCCGGGAACGCAGGCTGCTGCAGTGACATGCTACTTCAAGTAAGTTTCCTTCATTGGGAACTTCTCCTCGCACGCAATATAGTCTCCAGTCACCTGGAGCAGACAGGAACAGTGCAGTGGTATTATACAGTCGCATGGAATTGAAAATTCAAGACCTCTGCTTTGGAACAGCTGTTTTCATACTAGATAAATTTCACATGTTGTGTTCCTCTATTGTTATAGAATAAACTGAGCATCAGGTTTGGTTAAAATTACTTGAGAAACTGCTGCAGAAGAAAGTGCTTTATGAAACCTTGCTATGAGAGAGACTTCAAGAGTCACGTCTGCTCTGTTAAGAGCAGAAGAGTCAAGATTCTGTTCCTTTTTAACTTGCAGGAACAAAAAGGGAAACAAAACGAGTAGTCTTTGTATTCAGCATCTCTTTTTCTGTGCACCTTAGGCACAGCAGGTCGCATTCAGAAGTGAACTGGAAAATTTCCAAGCTACGTCAAGGAATATGTTGCAAAGTGCAATGAATGGGTAACAAAAGCTTAATTTTGCATTAGTCACAGAGCTGCTCATAAAAATGCTCTTTTTCCTAGAGTATGTAGAAAAGAATATTTTAATGCAAAGAGGCACTTTGCTTAATTAAAAACCAACTAGAACAATTTATGCATGCATCAATACAATGAAGTCAGCTCGCTCTTGGCTGACAGAGTCCACTCTAGGCCCAGGGAAGATATAAACTACCTTGACAGCAAAGCAGTCTCATGGTATTCATGGCTCTTTTCTACAGAGTATGGTAGTTGAGACTGAACACAAAGTCCTTCACAATAGGTTAAGAAAAGACTGTGGGGCAGAAACTCTTAACGAACAGTAATTTACTTTGTGCATTTTCTTCTTCCTCTTCCCTTCTTCCAGCATGCACAATCATCCCTCCTTGGAAGCACTGCAGGAAGCAGGGTGGTTCTTTCCCTTGAAGCACTTGTACCTGGAAATTGGAAAGCACCACTATCCATTAAAAAAAACGAAGCAACCATATGGTCTTGGGAGAACTATTCCCTGTGGTTCATTAAAAATTATACAGTTACAGCCACCCACAAACATGGCTTTTCTCACACTTGGCTGAATATCGTTGAAAATTACCATATGTGTAGACATGCAATGAGTTTCATATGTGACCTACATATTAAAAGAAACCTTATCTGGAATCCAACAATTAAGAGTTTCAGAGGATAAAAAATACCAAATGAACTTTAATTCATATTAGTTGAATTTAACCACTATTTGAATTCTTTACAAGACTGGGCCATCTTGCCTGATATTCTTTGAAACTGTTTGGGAAATACTGCAGGAACTCAGGAAAGCTTACAATTTGCTGTAGAACTGGCTTATGTGACAACATGCACATTCTTTGTTAAATTCTGACTGTGAAACTGAGATAGCAAATTGTTAAATCAGCTAGGTTGCACAGCATCCCACACACTGGGTCACATGGTGTTTGCAAATCTTCTCTGTGAACTCACGGCTTAATAGTCATGTTTACACTGCTGCTCAAGAATTAATTACAGCTTTATCAAGGTACAGAGATTAACTTTAAATCTCCTAATTTTGAGTGCTCTTACCAGCAAAGCTGAACTCAGCCTAACAACCAAGTCTATACTCTTTAAATTAGCTGTATGTGCAGTTGCTAGAATTTTTATAAAATAAGGCAATCTCCTCCATAATGACAGAGTAAACAAATTGAAAATTTGATTTCAAATGTATTTTCATGTTTTAGCCTTGCAGAAATGCTCCTGACAGAGTTCAGCAAAACAGAGTGCTTCTCCTGCTCCCAGTGCTAGGAACACATTCTGTTGTCTGGATACATGGAAAGGGAAGGCACAAATTTCTTTCACTGTGCTTCACTTCTTTCTAAGAGGGAGGAGAGAAGATGTCTTTCCTCAGCCATTCTCAAAAATATAGTATTTATAATTGAGAGTGGGGAATGAAGATCCATAAAGAAGACTGATGCATCTCTGGAAGCTGGACTAAAGCCAAAAGTAATTTTGAAGGCTAGCTAATTTCACCTGCAAGGATATCTTTACAGAAAGAGAGGAGGCAAAAAAGATCACCCATGCTTTCTGCCAGTGACTCTGTGGGCTGGCAGCTCTTGCCAGCCACCAAGATCTGCAGGAAGCTCACCTGT